TTGTCTGAAAACAGTTTCTGCCAAACTTCACCTTCCTTTAAAAAGATCTTTTTGTACAAGATCAAAACACAATTATATTAATTGAACATCACAACAATAAAAACACACAGCTAATAGGCCCATCATGTTTGTCACACACAGGCGTTTTGCCGTCATATTCTTTGTGCCGTCCTGTTGCGTAAGCTCATTACTAATAAGCCACCGAGACACCAAGTTACTCAATCTTAATACAGTCAAACCTGTATATAATGGCTCTAGTGAAAATAGCCTGTATATAACAGTCACTGGACAACTTCCCAAAATTTTCAGTCACCTTATTTTCTGCAAAGTTGACCTGTATATAGCAGTCACCCTGTATATAACGGTTAGCGTTAGATAACATCGAGTGAAGCCGGATTGGACACCTTATGAATTTTACACAATGCATTATTTCCATAATGGAACGAGACTGGAATGTAGAATGAGGCTAGAATAGCTGAAGAAACCAAAGCTACAGAGCACCAGTTATGGAGAGAACACAGTAGAGAATTAAGCACTGATCTGCAGTGATTAGGGTTAAGCACTAAACTGAAAATGGTTAACTTTCAAATATTGTAATGGGGTACGACATATATAAGAACATGTATATTTTAAAAGTTACTGGATTTGGCAGTTAGTCCTCGTTGGTGTAGTGGATATGGATGTAGGCTATAAAGCAAGTGACCCGGGTTCAAAGCATCACAGCGGAGTTTTTCTATTTCACTTTTATATTACACAGTAAAATTGGACTTAAGTTGTTCTTCATGTAATTTTACTGAAAGAAACAATCTGACTTCAGCTGATATTACCTAATGCTAACCGTATATAACGGTTACCTTGCCATTTCCCGAGGGTTACCATTGTACATAGCAGGGCTCAAAGTTTAAATTTCAGTTTGGGAGCACTTGTGCTACCAGATATAGGCGCACTGCCGAAATTTTAGGCGCACAGCTGAAAATTTTAGGAGCACAGCTTATAATGTTAGGAGCATCTATTTCAAAAGAAAAAGTAAAAAGCTTAACAGTACCACGTTTATTTGTCATCTTCAGTTTGTTACTTTTACTTCAGTCTTGTGATTGATAAAACACAGCCGATTTGCTATGCAGTAATACCGTTGTGATTTTTAATACTAATTTCTCTTTTTGACAGTACAGTTGTGACTAAAGAAAACTTACACTTGAAAAACAATTCAAAACTGACAACAATGAGTATCTCAAACGAGAATGAAAAATAACCTTTAATGAATTTGTTAAACGCGCAATGACTTACATGTAACTGGAATACGACTTAAAAAACTTTCTTACCTGGAAAAAAGGCTCTTAATCCACACTGTTTTTGTTTTGATTGACGTTAAAACTGAACGTTCGACATGATCGTCCATTGCGCTAAAAGTATGTGTTTCGTTCGTAGCCTATACAGTCGACTCCCGATAACATGAACCTTCAAGGGAAATCTCAAAGGTTTGAGTTATCGGGAGTTCGAGTTATCGGGAGCTCGAAGAAAATGGCAGAGAGTAAGGTAAAAAACAGTCTTTACTGCACAGTGAATATTTTAATCACATTTAATTGTAGAAATGTCAAGTGAAAATTAAAAGATACTTCTAGATTATAAATCAGAACGTAACGTAACAAACCATAGGCTAAACAGAGCATGCGTTTTACTGTTTTAAGAAGTAAAGCTGCTAGCCTGTGACAATCAATATCAGCCTCCACTAGTAAACTATACTCCTACAACACGTCAATAGGAAGTCCAAAATTCAATGTTTCGGACTTCAGTTGACAGCTTTTTTCCCGACTTTTTAAGGGCTCAAAACATGGTTCGAGTTATCAAGGATAAAATTATATAGAAAATGACCTGAGGGGGAAATGAAAATTGGTTTGAGTTAGCGGGAGTTCGAGTTATCGAGGGTTCGAGTTACCGAAGGTAAAATTATGGTGAATGTATGGCGGAAATCCAGGGGAAATCGATTTTGGTACGAGTTAGTGCGAGGTTCGAGTTAGCGAGGATTCGCGTTAAAGGGAGTCGACTGTATTTGCATGTGTCAGCGGTGTTTATTACAAAACAGAAGAATCTGGGAAGGAGTAAGACATCGTAATGAAAAAGAACATTCGAGTTCGTATAATCCATTGGGAGAAAAGACCAATTAAACATACACCGTCTTTCTAGTTCGAGTTCCTAAGTATAGTCGGAAGTCAGTCAGTCGCACTGTGCTTTGGGTTTTACAGTGCACAGGTGCGATTACACATGAATTTTTAGGCGCACAACCAAAAATCCAGTCGCATATGCGACCAATTAGTCGCTAACTTTGAGCCCTGCACAGGTTTGACTGTAAAGCCCACCAAGATACTGAACCATTAAAATATATACCTTAAACACTTGTTCTTTAAAACGTATCGTTATATGTCTTTGTTAAGGCTGTCTGATACTCAGATGCCTTATATCTTTTTCATTCTAGTGACCCACCAAGCCATTTTGGTTAAAGATAACTGTAAGTGTTAGTCACGTTAACCCTTTAAGTCCCTATATCCACTTACAAATTCTCCAAACTGATCTCTATATATTTCCTTAAAGAATGAGTTGAGAGAATTTCATAAACGATCAAAGCATTCTCTCTCAGTTGATCATTTATGACACCTTCTGCTGTTCAATAAGAGAAAATACACATTTATTTGCGTGAAACGGCGACCAATAGCACAAAGATACATTCATTAGCACGAAACAATGAACATTTACATAAAGCAGATTCATCATAAAAATGTTAATGAGCATTACTTGCACTTCAATGTTTATCTATTGACTTTCAAGATGGTGTTAATGACTTGCATTTTGGCGTTAATGGAAGTATAATTATAATTTTCTCTTTTGTATGCCGAATGACGCATATGAATGCCCAAAAATGTTATTGAAATATGTTGATTAATTATGCAAAAATCATAATTAAATCTGATTTATGTGCAAATGTTCCTTTTTTTGCTCTAATGAATGGATCTCTGCGCTATTGGTCGCCTTTTCATGCAAATGAATGCATATTTTCTCGTAATGAACAGCAAAAGGTGTAATTCTCATAACCTTTTCTTTCGATGATGTATGGATATCGTTAAAAAATTGATGCACAGCTCTTTCATGTAGTACAATCATATTTTAAAACTGTATTACAAAAGTTATTTTGCGGGACATTTTTATGCAGTCTTAAAGTTTTGGGTATTGACTTGATGTTGCACATGCAGTTACCAGTTAGGAGCTTTTGCGCACTTGTACTGCTTCCCTGAAAATTGTTGAAATTTGCAGCAATTTCTCGAATTAAAAAATTTATTTTTATGGAATTTTTCGAACTTTTCCAAACTTCTCAAAATGTAAAGCGCTTGGGGATTTCTTAATATCATTTCTTGAAATAGATCACCTAAATGGTTGTTTGGGTGGTATAAGCCAAAATTAGAATTTTTAGATCTGATTTGAGATTCTCGATGTTTTCCCTCCCCCCCTTTCTAATAATCCTCCCTCTCTGTTAATCTCCCCCATCAAACATGCTTGAAATGAAAAGGCCCCCAGGGAGCTTAATAGAGGATTTATGGTAATACACTGCGTTCAACTATATTGTCTACAATAATATGAATTCTGTATGATGAACCTCAATTACCATTATTTTAAAAGTGTGTTATTTTACAAACCATAAGGAACTCTAGATCCAAATACAAAGTCAACAAATAATCAGCTAACCAATATATTGATGGATTCTCTAGTTTGAAGGGTTCATGTAGAATTTTAGGTATGTAATCAGCTGGTTTATTATGTGGAACCACTTTTTCATGAGCAGGTGTCTTAAAAGTTTTCTAATTTTCCACATGTCCCTGACAACACCACCTTTAAACTACTCACTTCAGGCCTCTCACCACCAGGCCGCAAAGGTTATGCTGGTGGCAACAAAACAAATAATCTGTATTTACCTAATCATGGTTCTTCATCTTTCCAAAGGTATCCTAACTGTAAAACCTTTAAATCAGAGCAACCTCAATGTCCTTTGAGTGTCAGCAGAGTGGCAAGTGTGTTAACAATGCAGGGCATGTTAGGGCTCATAAAAGATTCCGCACTGGGGAAAAGCCATATCAATGTAAACAGTGTGGCAAGTGTTTTAGCCAAGCAGGACACCTAAGGACTCATGAAAGAGTTCACACTGGGGAAAAGCCTTATGAATGCAAACAGTGTGGCAAGTGTTTTAGGGAAGCACGACACCTAAGGACTCATGAAAAAGTTCACACTGGGGAAAAGCCTTATAGATGTAAACAGTGTGGCAAGTGTTTTAGTCAAGCAGGAAGCGTAAGGAGACATGAAAGAGTTCACACTGGGGAAAAGCCATATGAATGTAAACAGTGTGGAAAGTGTTTTGGCCGAGCAGTAAACCTAAAGAGCCATGAAAGAGTTCACACTAAAGAAAAACGTCATGAATGTAAACAGTGTGGCAAGTGTTTTACTTTGGCAGATAGCCTGAAGAAACATGAAAGAATCCACACTGGTGAAAAGCCTTTTGAATGTAAACAGTGTGGCAAGTGTTTTAGTGTATCAGGAAACCTAATGAGACATGAAAGAGTTCACACTGGGGAAAAACCTTACGAATGTAAACAGTGTGGCAAGTGTTTTAGCGAAGCAGGAAGCCTAAGGACTCACAAAAGAGTTCACACTGGTGAAAAGTCATATGAATGTAAACAGTGTGGCAAGTGTTTTAGCCAAACAGGACAGCTAAAGGTTCATCAAAGATTCCATACAGGGAAAAACCTTACGAATGTAGACAGTGTGGTAAGTGTTTTAGTGGAACAAGAAACCTAAAAACTCATGAAAGAGTTCACACTGGGGAAAAGCCTTTTGAATGTAAACAGTGTGGCAAGTGTTTTAGTGTAGCAGGAAACCTAAGAACTCATGAAAGAGTTCACTCAGGGGAAAAGCCTTATGAATGTAAACAGTGTGGCAAGCGTTTTAGTGAAGCAGGAATGCTAAGGATTCATGAAAGAGTTCACACTGGAGAAAAGCCGTATGAGTGTAAACAGTGTAGCAAGTGTTTTAACCAAGCAGGAAACTTAAGGAGACATGAAAGACTTCACACTGGGGAAAAGCCTTTTGAATGTAAACAGTGTGGCAAGTGTTTTAACAGATCAGGAGTCCTAAGGACTCATGAAAGAGTTCACACCGGAGAAAAGCCTTATGAATGTATACAGTGTGGTAAGTGTTTTAGCCGAGCCGAACATCTAAAGGTTCATCAAAGATTCCATACGGGGGAAAAACCTTACGAATGTAGACAGTGTGGTAAGTGTTTTAGTGTAGCAGAATACCTAAGGACTCACGAAAGAGTTCACACTGGTGAAAAGCCTTACGAATGTAAACAGTGTGGCAAGTGTTTTAACCAAGCAGGAAACCTGAGGAGTCATGAAAGATTCCACTCTCGTGAAAGGTCACATGAGTTTTCCCAGAAAAAGAAACGTCTGTCCAAACGTTTGGAATCCTTTAAACAGAAGAGAGAAGGAAGTGAAAACGTTGATGTCAGGGCCACAGGTTTTACAGAGAACCAGCAGACACAGGGAGAAACCGGAAACAATGGTGTAACAGATGCACGATCGGTCATTATTGAGAAACACAGATGTTGGATCTGTCAAGAGGAGATGAGTAGTGAGGCTCTTCTTCTTCAACATTATGAAAATCATATGACCCATGTTTGTGACGATTATTCTTGAAGTTAAAAAAACGTTGTGGTCCTTTTAAGTTCTTCTCTTTTGTTAGTTTTTTTGTCGTGCTTTGGCAACATTTTTTATTTTTGCAGCTCTTAAAGATTCAATTCAATTTTTAGAGCATCTTGCTTTTATACTTGTGGTTCATTTGATGTGCATGATTGTCAAGTTGGAATAAACGATGAAGGGACAACTTCTGTATTAATTCTTCCATAAAGGAAAAACTCGATTTAAATCAAAGTCTTCGTGCCTCTTAGTTTAGTCTGCTACAGAGCCGTTTTTAGTGTCGTCACGCAAGGCTCCTCCCCACAAACGGTTTGTGGGATGAGCGTTGCTTAATTTTAAGGTTTACATTTGTACGTGACCACTTACAGACTTTAACTTCTCATGATATGAATGGAAAGAAACTTTTTCCTTACAATGTAAAAAAGGCTTTCTTACTTTCATCCATATTCTACAGTCTTGTATTTATGATGTTCTCGTAGCCGTGGTTTCTGGAACTCTCCAGTTATTATAATAACTGTTACCCCTAATAAAGAATACTAATTAAGCAATAGAAAACGATTTCCTTGTTTGCATAGCCTGGTATAAACACGAGAGGGGTTGGGAGAATTCGAGACAGTTATGGAAACCCGAGACGAAGTCGAAGGTTTGCATAACTGTCGAGAATTCTCCCAACCCCTCGAGTGTTTATATCAGGATATGCAAACACAGGAAAAAAGTTTTCTATTGCTTTTATAAAATAACTTTCCCGAGAAAAAAGCAAAACGCTCTTGTTTAGAGCATTGATTAAAAGAGAAATTCTTACCAGTCGCGAAGTCTTGTACACGAAGCTTGTACGCGTAATCAGTCTTTGTTTTGCAAAAAAGGTGCTTTCCAGGTTTTCCGGGTTTTTCTCGCTTAAACTGTCCCCTCAGGCGAAAAAAAAATTGACATAGCATGTTTCTAAAGATTTTCCAAGTTTCAACCGACGAGGAAATGGGTGAATAAAGTAAACTTGTCGAGTTTTTCGACTCAAAACCTTTTTCAAATTCGTGCTTGCGTGATTAGCGCGGAAAGTCAAACAAGTTGACGTCACAACCATGTTTACATACTCTCATGCAAACACGCCTCTCGGCCAATCAGAGCGCGCGTAGTATCTTAGTTATTTTATAATCGCTTATTAATGACTTTGGAGAATATTTATTGGTGTTTAAAGGCCCTATGTATCAAGTGGGACAGTATAAAGTGTTCCATTTAACGAAGCTGCTTTTCGATCGCAAGAACTTGCTCGCTCATCAATAATGATGTTAGTTCAGGCAAAAGTTATTTATATTCCTCCTTTGTTCTGTGCCGCTAAAGGATTGTGGTATATTAAACTTCCGTAAGGAAGCGAAAACGCTTGGATTTTCCTACCGTTTTAAAGTTGGTTAATGTGTGTGTGCTAAGAGCCCATTCGGCGCGGGACGGGGGGTACTCCGAAGTTCAAGTGACAGGGATGATCGAATGGGGAAAAAATCAAAACCCGCCAAAATTCCTAGGGCTTTAAACAAAACCCAAACAACTTCCTGGACCAAAATTTAACCAGCAAAAAAATACCGTGCCGAGCCATAAAAATTTCCAGGAAGCGTTAAATGATATAACTATCATGAATCTTCAGATTGTTTTGAATACCCAAAACAATCCCTACTTAAATCAAGCTGCCCAATAAATACTTGTCAAATTTTTCCTACCCAAACAAATCCCGAAATCGAAAATTTGAAAGCGAAAAAAATCCTTTGATCATCCCTGTCACTTGAAATCCGTATTGCCGCCCCCCGCTGGGGTTTAGAGCGCGCTTCTCAGCACTTGAGAATTTGTAATTGTCTTCTGAATGTTCTTGAATCAAATTCCAGATAGTTTTAAGTTGACAAGTGGTAAAATGGCAGTAGCCTGAACCACCACTAGTTAAAGAGCAACGTTTCTTTCCATTTCTCCACCGTGAAGAGAAGACGCTGAATTTAAGGGAAAGTGTTGCAATTGAGAAGAAGATCAGAGTAGCAGGCAGCTGCTGCATGGATCAATCCAGTTATTTCAAATGTTTGTTCCGGGTAGCACGAAAATTCAAACAATCTGGATTTTTTGGACGCGTCAGTGTCCGGATATTAGGTTGTGATAGCCAAGATTAGACAATTTTGTGATCGTTTTGAAAGTTTGGTATTCGACACAATTAATTTTGAAAATAAGGCATAGTTTACATTAGGTTTATAGAAAAAAAACTTTGGTTTACCATGTTTA